GTGCGTCTCCCCGAGTCCTCCAGCGGGAGACACACACCAGGGGGGACATTCCTCCCCAACCCTGGCCCAGGCCCAGCGCGGCCATGAGCAGGCCTCTGGGTGTCCCCGGCTCCGCCTCCTGGGAGGGGCCAGGCGGGTCTCCCCCCAACCAGACGGGCGCCCCAGGAAGGCCCTGAGCCCTCGGAGAAGGAACGTCACTGCAGCCCTGCGCTGGGGACCACTAACGCGCTTCCTCCTTCCAGTGAGGGCAAAAGTGCAAAAAACCCGGGTTTTTCCAGCTAAAAGGAGAACTGGCCGCTTTCTCATACAAACTAGAGGGAGTGGCCCCGGGGCAGCAGCACAGGGAGCAGGGAGGACAGCGGCCTGGACCTGGGAGGCCCCGGTTCCCTCCTCGGTCGGCCGTGGCCTCCAGTGTTCCGTCTGTAAAATGGGCCAGCTGCCTCCGGCATGAGCGTCCCGGTCTGTTCCAGCTCAAACACCCCGAGAGCGAACTAACCCCTCTCCCCCTGACCCCAACCTGCTTCAGCCAGGTAAGAGCGGGTGGCCTCTGAGATGGGCCCGGGGCTCCCCAAATTCTGCAGATGAGTAAACAGAGAGGAGCGGCCGTGAGCGCATGCGCCACCGCGAAAAGCCCAGACGACAGGCCTCTGTGGTGCAGCTGAGAAGAGAAAGCAACCCCAGCCCGGCCACGTGGCTCAGTGGTGAGCGTCGACCTATGAACCAGGAGGTCACAGTTCGATTCCCGGTCAGGGCACAGGCCCAGGTTGCAGGCTGGATCCCCCATGGGGGGCGTGCAGGAGGCAGCCGATCCATGATTCCCTCTCATCACTGGTGTTTCTATCTCCCTCTCCCTCTCCCTCCCTCTCTGAAATCAATCAAAACACACGTAAAAAGGAAAACTAAAGAAAGCAACCTGGGACCGCACGGCCGTCACGCGGAGGACCCGGGACAACGGGAAAGGTGAGCAGAGCGGAGGCAACTGAGCATAAGGCACAGCAACTCACTGCTCCCGGAGGCACCAGCGGCCGTCGCCACGTGCAGCGCGGGGTGAGGACTGCAGTGTCCCTCAAGCAGCTGGTCAGCGTGGGCCCTGCTCCGGGGCCTCCGAGGCGGCCCATCCACTAGAGGGAGCGGCCGGGCCCCGTGGCCTTCGGAAACCCTGGCGACCCCGCTGACCCCCACTGCCGGTCAACGTCCTCCTCCCAGAGGGTCAGCCGAGGGGAAGAACGCCAACCTTGACCCACAGGCGCCCAGTGACGGCTCCGCGGGGTTTCTGGACAGCGGGGCGCCATCTGCAAGCGGCACGTGAGAGAGAGAAGCGAGGGCGCCCGAAACAGTTCTCAGGAGGAGAAAGCGGGGGGCAGGCGATGCGGGTCGTCGTGAACGGAAAGAGGTCTGCAAAGCCCGGACGCCTGGGGGCGCGAGTCACGGCATCCAGAGACCACGCTGCCCGCCCACCAGTAAATACCCATCACTGCCGGCGGCAAACACAACCCACCAGCCCTCCGTGCCAGCACTTCCCCTCGCGGTCAGTTGGTACGTTGGCGGATTCCGGCCAACGATGAACGGCTCCCTTTTCCTCCTTAGAATCGGCGAGTCCAGCACCAGCCCCACACGCCGCCTCCCTGGGACCCTCCCCCTGCAGCTTCAGAGAGAGAACCTCCCAACAGCTTTCAACGGCGTCCTCACAGGGACACACACACACACATGCACACATGCGCGTGCACAGGCACACACGTGCATACACGCATGCACGCACATGGGCACACACATGCACATGCACACGCACACACACGCACAGGCACGCGCAGTGTTGATTCGTTTCCGTAATTATTGTCAAGGCCCGGCTGCATAGTGGCTGAGCATCCACCTGTGAACCAGGAGATCACGGTTCAATTCCCAGTCAGGGCACAGGCCCGGGTTGCAGGCTCCATCCCCGGGTGCAGGGGGCAGCCAATCCGTGATTCTCTCTCATCATTGATGTTTCTCTCTCTCCCTCTCCCTTCCTCTCTGAAATCAATAAAAATGCAGGTTTTTTTAAAATTAAAACACTATTGTCAGAATTAGAGTCGCAGACACCTCCATGATTAAGTGCTTCCTGAGAAGAGCTGGGCACGGAGCTGAGTGCCTGGCGGACGAATCACATCGAGGAAACGCTGCGACAGTGAAAACGAGCATCGCCAGGCGGGGACCGGGGACCGAGATTCAGCACAAGATCGACGCGGCTTTGAACACGTCACCACGTGTGTCTCTTTCACTGTCAGCAAACGTGTCCCGTGAAGATGAAGATGAGACGTGAGGCATGGAGAAGAGAGAAGCATGTCTTCAGGGGCCTAATGCCTTGGTTCTCAAACTGTGCACCGAGGCACCCCAGGGTACCACAGCGAGCGGACAGGGTGTTTCGAGTTTCCTGGGGAGAGACGGTGACACTGGGCATCCAGGACGCCTTGAGGACTGGGTCCTGGCCGTCCGCTCCCTTTCAAAGTCAGGCCTCAGGACAGTCCTTTTGACGAGACCGTATCTCCGTGAACCTGGGTTTCCGGTGGTCTCTGTGCTGCAAGCAAATACACAACCAACGTGGACGTGGGAACGGGGTGGTGGCGTCCGATCCGATTCCGAGATCCGAGAGGCCGGGTGGCACCAGCAGGCGGGCACGTCCCAGCCGTAAGTGACTGAGGTTATTAAATGAAGTGAAATAAATGCCTCAGACAATTTTCCTGCGGATGGCTACCAGGAACGAGGTTGTAAGGACACAAGCACCTGTGACGTGCTGAGGCCTCATTACTGGGTCAAGGGGGCCGCTAGGCAGTGCTCTGGCCTGAGGTCACGTGGCTCTGACTCCCCACGACTATCCCAGGGCTCCCTGCTCACCCTCCTCTCCGGAAACCCCCTCCCCAGGCCTCTCTGCCCGCCTTGCCCGCACAAGCCTGCTCTTCCCACCTGGCCACGCCGACAACTGTGCGTCAGCACAACGCTGGGCACCAAACAAGCCTTCCCTCCCCGGATTCCTGCGAGCCCAGGCGGGTCTCACCCGTCTGCAGAGACGGGAAAACAGAGCTCAGGGCAGAGGGGGGACCCCGAGTGTCCGGCTGCCCAGCCGGCGCTCTGCTTGGCGTCCGGGGCCTCCCTTCCAGGTCGCAGCCCAGCCTCCAGCTCCCACAGCCCGCGCGGTGGAGGGGGCAGCTCCCCACGTCCGGGCCTGGGAGTGCAGGGCCGGGACTCCCATTAACAAGCCACCCTCGCTCACGGCAAGAACAATCGCGCAACCCAGTTTCTCGCAGGAGCGGATGGGGAGAGCAGATTCGGAAAACAGGATGCAGTGTGTTCGAGGGGAGAGAGATGAATCCTCCTTTATTCCGCGGGAACTGCATGTTCCCAAAATTCAAATCAGCCCGCAGAGCAGACGGCCCAAACCCGAGGCACTTCAATGCCCTGTCCCAGTTCACAGGGCCCAGCGCA